ATCATTCTAATAGTACTTATATGGCATAAATGAAGCAAGATTCAGAGATGAAGATGTATATGGAGATAGATCATTTCACAAGGAAGCTAGTAGTACATGTACCCATAGGTAAATTTTTGTAAAAAATGGACATACATCACTATAATATTCACACGACGATATGTATATTACAAATCAAAAAGCTAATGAACAGTTTGGACAAATGCACATTTTTTTTTATATATCCAAAAATCAATCAATCGATATATTTTATGCATGTGAAGAATATTTTTACTACAACTTCCTTTATATTCTACATCTAATAGATTTGATGTACATGTCTATTTTGGTAACAATAAGTGTTTAATAAGTAAAGTTCTGGCCAATATTACACAGTATATCACGGGGTTGAGCTCTCTATCTAAGTGAAGCATTGAGCTCAGTTTATTGTTAAACACAAACATTCTGCATGGAATGATGATTTGAAAACAGACAACCCTTCTGTACATGTCATGATGATATTAATTGTAAGGTGAGATATGATTGAAACATTTTGCATAATCTCTTAATCTCTTAATCAAAATTAACAGTTGAGGGATATTTTTTAAAGCATTTTATTTCCATTTCAACTAAACATTCTTCTTCTGTCAGACAGCCAAATAAAAGATAGCTAAATTAAAAACACAAAAACTATTTGAAATATGATGCTTTTTGACACACATTTTAACTCCTTATACTGCCTACTGAAGAGCCACAAGTACAAATGGTTGATGAATTATGCATCGTATTCATGTAAAGAGACGAAACTCACAAAGCCTAACAGACTTTTAAAATTATATAACATTGTTGTACTTCGATCAATATTTGTAAAATCTAAATTTGTGGTAATAACAACACTGCTCTATTTTTATTTCATGGTGTAAAAATTAAACTGTACACTTTTTTATTAACACTTTCTATCAAAGTTCATTATTTATATCTTCCTCCGCAAACCAAAAAATTGAAACAAAATAATTTTTCAATACGCTATCAATTTCAAACTCAGTGAAAATACTATAGGGCTAGTCATTATAGTAAAGTACTATGTTTCATATTTCATATGAATGAAAATTAATTGAATTACAATTTTATCAAATTAATCATTAATTTGAAGAAAAAAATCTTTTATACAGATATAATTCTAACCTGGCCTTATGAGTCTAAGCGGAAAACATTTCCAGACACGTAATAAGAGTATACTTTCGGCACCTACATAAAGATGTAGATGTAGATGTATTAGCTCAACTAGCCGTTTTAAGGTACTGCACCAAGTTAGGTTTTTGGTGTGGATATGAAATTTATAATGACTGCAAGGGCTAAAAATGTATTCTGATTACCTGAAAAGATCATCTTAAGAATTTCTTTCATTATTATCAAGTCTCCCAAACAAACTTCGGAGACATTGTTTTTGCTCAGTTATTATGTCACCCCAAACAAATGTCGGGTGACATATTGCTTTTCCTCCGTTCTTTCTCATTATTATTATTTTTTTTTTTTTTTTTTATGTCACCTCGAACGAATGTCGGGTGATATTGGTCTTCCTCCGTTTCTTTGTTATTATTTATGTCACCCCGAACAAATGCCGGGTGACATATTTCATTTCCGCCGTTTCTTTATCATGTCACCCGGAACGTATGTCGGGTGATATTGGTTTCCCTCCGTTTCTTTGTTATCAATTATGTCACCCCGAACAAATTTCAGGTGACATATTTATTTCCCTCCATTTCTTTGTTATGTCACCTCGAACAGAGGTTGGATGACATATTGTTATTCTAATGTTTTCTTTCAGTCGCCCAGTTTGGAGACTTATTGTTTTGTCCCGGTTCTTATTATGTCTCCCCGAACGAATGTTGGAAAAGTAAAATAAACAAAAATACCGAACTTCAAAGAAATTCAAAATGGAAAGTCCTTTATTAAATGTCAAAACATAAAGCTCAAACACATCAAACAAATGGAAAACAACTGTCATATATCTGACTTGGTACAGGCATTTCCTTATGTAGAAAATGGTGGATTTGACTTAGTTTTAAAGCTAGCTTAACCTCACACTTGTATGACAGTCGCATAGAATTCCATTATATTGACAGCAATGTGTGAGCAAAACAAACAGACATAATAGGTAAAAATGTCAAAAATTGGGGTACAGCCGTCAACATTGTGTTATAATCTTAAACACTATAAAAACAAATAACTATTTCAACAAAGAAAAATAAAATGGCATATAGACACTCTTTAATAGACAAAGCACATGAGCAAAAATGAAAGACAAGAATACAAAAAATGACCATAGCACAATAACACAATGGCGGGATGTATAAATACCGAGCCACGAGAAAAGTATATAGCCAAAATTGGACCATCATGTATTATTTATGAAGTTGATACGGAATATTTATCAACAAGGTCTTAGTATCTTCCGATGAATTTTTTTAGAAAAAGGACGAGACGTTCTTTGGCATAATCCTTGTTCATCATTGCTCAGACACTGGTGACGTTTTATAAAGTCTGAGTAGCATATGCAAGCTCTTGAATACCGAATGAGTTGGGAAATGAATACCCCATATGCAGGTGAAGTTGATATATTCCAGTTAAGGTGGGGGAAATTTATAATTACAAAATTAAAATCGTCTCGTTTGTCATAGATTCTGGTACTGAAATGATCGCTTATGTCAATTCGAGGTATTAGTCTAAAAATGAGACCGAGGAAGCCGTTTCTGTTGTTTCTTTAATTTCTAGCTCTGAAGGATATATAAATGGAACCCAATCAGAAAAGTTTCAAATTGGATTGTTCATGGAAAGAACATCATCAATATATCTGAATGTAAATTTAATGATCTGGCTTCTTTGATCTTCTTGTTTTTGAGGAGATTCTGAAGGAACTCCGACTTATATGAAAAAAAGAGGTCGGCAAGGAGAGGCGCACAGTTTATGCTTTTCCTCCGATTCTTTTCCGCTACTATTATTATGATGTCACCCCGAACGAAGTCGGGTATCATATTGCTTTTCCTCCGTTTCTTTCCCGAACTAATGTCGGGTGACATATTGCTTTGCCTCCGTTTCTTTTTCCCTATTGTTATTATTATTATGGAACCCCGGGTGGAAATCGTGTGACATCTTGTATTACTATAAAAAAAAAATAAGGAGATGTGGTATGATTGCCAATGAGACTACTATCCATCAAAAATCAAATGACGTGGATATAAGCAATCATAGGTTACTGTGCGGTCTTCAACACAGAGAAAACCCCATACCGTATAGTCAGCTGTAAAAAGCACCGACATAAAAATGTTAACGAACGTAATCAATGCATCACTGGTAAATTATTAAGTCAGGGATTTCGTTACCATAAATTACGTAAAAATTTTACTAAATTCTTTCATAGATACAAAGATTTGATTAGTAAATTTGGCTGTACCTGTGGAAAACTGCTTAAAAACGGTATTTCACATCCTAAATTTTACGGTAATATTGCACTTAAAGCGCGGAAATCACTATGTGATCCGTGTAAACTCATCGAACCTTTAAACAAACTTATTAGTAAAGGTTATCTTACCAATGTTGTAATTAGATCCTTGAATATAGTTTTCATTGGCACTGATATCGATTTTTTCATCAGCAAATTAAAACATAACTAAATATGTATTCTTTTCAAACGGGATGTATAAAGACACTCCAACGTTCATTTTGAACAATAAAGAGGTTAACTCCTAACTCTCCTACTGCCTGTCGATTCATTTATTTTTGGCAATGAACAATTCATGTCTTCTTTGACTGTCCATGACGTTAAAATACTAAATCCCTGGGATGTGTTTTAGTTGATTTTAGTCTCTGATGCATGATTTTTTATTATTAATTGTTTTTGGCTTTTAACTAGCTGTCAGTAACTGCAAGTACTCTTAAATCGTACTTTCTTGTTTATTTGACCTGTTGATACTAATTGTAATGCTTTTTTGTTATTTAATGTTATTCAGGGTTATATCTGGTCTATATACCAGCTTTGATAAGTGTTTGGTATTACTATAAATTTTCACTTCTTCGTACTATGAACATCAAAATTATTTATTTTGTAAAAATATTTCCTTTCTCTATTTGAATTGTACATGTATACCTAACAACAAAATTATTTTCATTTACCTGTGTTTAAAGTAATTGCAAATGGCTGGTATTTTTGTTCAAGCATATTGTTTTTCTTAAATTGTTTAACATTTCACAGCGGTATAACATGATACTTTAATTATTCTTCCCTTAGTTTATTTATTTTGTATTTACATTGTATCATAGATCAAATTTATTTGTTCAGTGTATATTCACTGGTGTTAATGTGTCTTTTGATTGAGTAAAGCCATTTCAATTGATTTTTATAGTGTGTCTTTCTATGTTGTGATGTTACACTATTGTTTCAGATAAGGGTGAAGGTTTGATACCATTAAAACGTTTAAACCCTTTGCAATTGTTTGCACATGTCCTAAGTCAGGAATCTGATGCTCAGTAGTTGTCGTTTGTTGATGTGGTTCATAAGTGTTTCTCGTTTCTCGTTTTTTATATAGATTAGACCGTTGGTTTTTCACGTTTGAATGGTTTTACACTAGTAATTTTTGGGGCCCTTTATAGCTTGCTGTTCGGTGTGAGCCAAGGCTCCGTGTTGAAGACCGTACTTTGACCTATAATGGTTTACTTTTATAAATTTTTACTTGGATGGAGAGTTGTCTCATTGGCACTCATACCACATCTTCTTATTTTTATTTGCCATTTCAAACTTATGACCACAAATGTGTTTCAATGTAGTCATTCTCTTCTTTTCCTCGATTGTGCCATCACCAAATGAGGCGGATAACCAAATGTGTACTTACCGTTAACAAGACGACGGGTGCAACATTTGGAGCAGGATATGTATGCTCACAGGGCACCTATGATCCCCGGGTTTAGATGTGGTTTATGTTGCCAAGTCTTTAGTTTTTTAAGTAATGTTTTACTGACGGGTATTTTTGGGTTTTTTTTTTTTTTTTTTCGTTTTTCGTTTTTTTTGCATGATTCTGTCGAATCTTTCTCCCTTTGATGATCCATCCCTTTTGTGATGAACGTATCGGATAAAGTTTATTTCAATATCAAATATGTAGTTCTATTAAAAGTCCATTCATACATTTTCAAGTTTTTTGAAAATTTTAATGTTTTGGAATTGACTACAAAGAGAAATTACATCGAACAATAATATCATACTTGAGTGAAATATCCTGGCCTGAAAATCATTGTTACGCTGACGAGGTATTATTATCTAATGTATGATCTTTGGTTGTTTGTTTTTTTTTCAAAGGGAAAGCATGACAGTTTTCAAGATATACATTTTATAAAAGTAAGAGGTCTCTATTTGTACTTCAATTTATACAAAATATAAATTTATCACTAAGTCTTGCATAATGTAGTAGTAATGGTAAAATCTAATTAAACTTTCCAATATCTAAAAGAAATAACTATGTCCTATTCTCTTTAATTGTTGTTGTGTTTATTCCAACTGAACGACGTACAGGCTGACAAATGCAATTTGGAAAACAAGCAAATCAATCTTATTAAGATTATATTGCCGCACTCGCTCATATTTTTATTCTTTGTCGCTACGTGGGAGAAAGAATAAAAAAAATGAGCGAGTGCGGAGATTTGATTTTGATTAGATTGACAAGCAAATATTTTTTTGGAATTACAAGAAAGAATAAACAATTATACCGTTAACATATTCAGTGTATGATCACTCACTTGTAAATTTAAGTTCTCTTACATTTAACGTATTATCATTAAAATTGTATTAATTAAGCAGTTATTTATGACACGTTTTCCATATCCATTCATTTGAATAATCACAAAAGAATTCTATATAGATATTTGACTCCCTGTCTCTAGGTGTATATTGGCCATGGAATTGCCAAATTGATAATACTGCATCGCCAAAGTCGTTTCCATACATAAGTGGACTCTGTTTGGTTACTCTGATAGCTCCAGAACAAGGGACATAAAATACATTTTCCCCTTCTCGCTTGCGGCAGGTCGGTTTACACAGTCGTCCGCATGCGTCGGATGCAGTTACAAGAACTTCTGTCGGTTTATTGACTGTAGGTTTTTCGATAGCAATGTAGCCAATATGAGAAGAAACTGGAAGTCTGTTATCGACGAAAACGTAATCTGTATATATCCCAAAATAACTTAACCCAGAGGACTTCAATCTGACCTTAAATGCACCGGATTGGTCTTCAACACAATCTTGGTATGTCGCAGGATTGCCAGGATGGACGAGTTTTCTCAAATATCTGTATTTATGTTCGTCATACATATCATATCGGTGGCGTTGTCTATTAAGGTTCGTCTGTGATGCAAAGTGGACTTCTCTTGGACGGAGATGAACAACTTTAATTGGTATAAATGCCCAACGTCTAGAATCAGTTGAACAATCTGCAATAAAATTATTTTGGATTGGTCTCCCCATACAAGGTTCACGTTCCTGTGGAACATAAACGTTGGTAATTTGATCCGCTTTTATTGTTATACTATAACTATTTGCTACTGCTGTAGAATGATAATGAGTGTCTCTTTTCCCGCGTTTTTTATTTTGTTTTTGTTTATTATTGTATTTAATTTGAACTTTCCTATGTTTTTTTGCATCAACAAAAGGCTGTGTTTGTATTTTTAAAAATCTGTCTACAGATGCGCATTCTGTACCCGACGGCTTAATCTTACATTGCAGATCAGGCGAACCACAATCAGTATTGGCCTTTGAGCAAGTCGGTGAAAGTTGATAGTAACTCCGTTTTGCAAGCTGCACACTAGATCCATCACTATTCTTAGGAACACGTCCAAGAAATTTTACGTAAGGCATATTCTTAATTGTGACATCAGGATTTTGATCAGGATTTCCGGCTTTTGTTGGATAGGAAGTATTGTATTTGTGAGTATATCTCCATACCTCCCATAAATAATCTACATAGACGTGATGAAGCCAGAAAATACAATCCCAGGGTGCTATTTCAATCGGTGCCATTGATCCGCCTACATAATTGTGAACATCGTCATGGTAAGATTCGATAGTGTTATAAGGAGACGGTTCGACTAGTCTGTTGATGTTTGGCATATTCATCACATCCCTTGCTTCGGCGAAAGTAAATAATGATCCTGCATTTCCACCATTCCTTATTACTGGATTGCCGCTGTTATCCCTGGCACCCCCACAAAGACCTGTTTTAACTACTCCGTTAAACTCTCCAAGATATTCATCAGTCCAGAGTATAGAATTTTCCGATTTATCCATATTGGCGTCCAGACCTGAGTTCCAATACGGTAGCGTCACCGAAGGATCAAAATGCTGCAAAATTAATTCTAATCTGTAAAAAAAAACAGATTGTACTGTATTATAGGGAAATGTCTTAGTTGCGCTATATCATTTTAAAAGATATCTTGAATCAACTGCAATTACGATATCAGGTATATTTAAGGTAAGATGAAATGAAAAACGGATGATTGATTACTAGTAAAACATTTTACAAAATTTAATGAAAAACGTTTATATTTAAAAAAAAAAAGTCTACGTCAACATTGTTGTAACGGTGGTCTCATGGTAGCATGTTCGCCTCGAGCGCGGGATGTCAAGGGTTCAAATCCTGGCCATGTCAAAACAAAGACATTAAAGTTATTGGCTGCTTCTCTGCTGGACACGTGTCATTAAGGAGTAAGAGCAAAAAAGTGTCCTGGTAGGGTGACATGCCTTCCTGCGACTGTTACCTTTTGAATTAGCACGTTAAAAATCCGGTTCAGCGTGTCGGTCTAGTACAAAGCAGGGTGAATATTCACATTACAATAACATGTTCTCGTCCTGAATATGCATTTAATTTGCCGCTGCATAGACGTTAAACAGACATCCATCATCATCAACATGTTGCTTTATTAACGTATGCCTCACTTCTCCTTTTATTCGTATTATACGATAACCTATATTTAAATGGAAAAGGAAAATAGCAATCAAACTGAAAAATGATTTTTTTTTGTGAATATGTTTCGAATCAATTGATTTTTACGTGGCATATTTTATTCTTACTAAACTTAACCATTACTACATGTATCAACCGGAGCCGACAGCTTCTGCCTTGTGTTCAGCTACATTGCGTGAAGGATGTTACATTTAATATATTTTTTCCTAAAATAAATATACAAAAACTGCTAGAAATCAATACTTTCATGAAATTATATTTACATTAGTATCAGGAATCTATGATACCCCAGAAAAGCAGGTCCGTGATGAGCAGAAGTTCTCACTTGTTCGTTGTGAAATTTAGCAAGCCATGCATATAACTGAAAATTAAAGAAAATATAACTGTAAAGAGAGAAGTAGTTCCGATAGCTATAAAAAAGTATCTTTAGGCGATTTTTGAAACATGCACCTTTCTGTTGGTTTTAAGTGTACTTTCTAATAGATTTTATGGTCATAGTTTTTCTCAAAAGACTATTTTTATTTGCCTTTTTGTAATCAATTACATGTAGTTGATCCATCTGTTTGAATTGCTAATAGTAACCTTTAATTCTATCACAAAGTAATAATGGGCAATACTGGACAATATGATTTTTTAAGCTTATTTTTACACAGAATAGTAAAGACTTGTAGTTTCATAGTATTATAGCTAAATATATACATTTTATACAGATAACCATTGAGAGTCAATGGATTTAAAATTCAATTTCTCACTTTTCTTCACTAATTCTATGTAGGTAGAATACAAGCTTTGCACATTTTTAATAGAATACCTTGTTGATTTCCAAGCTTTGTTTGAATAATCCAAAAAAACTTTGAAAAATGCATTTTATTGCAGTGTTTAAGTGAATTGTAAATTTTAATTTTTATATAATCATATTGCTAAATAGACATCCTTAGGGACGTGTTATGAAAAGGCTAATTATTGTTATATAGACAAATCTGTGTTATACTCTGAATAATTACTTATCAAGTTCTGATGTACATATAATATGCTTTAACTTAGTCAACTTTTTTAACAATTAACAATAATCTTTTAAAAGTAATTTTCCTTGCATATAATTGTTAGTATTAGTTAATTATATTTTTACAAAAATGAATTCTTTGGTTTTGTGTTAACAGTTTGACCAATATAGACAGAATGGGGGGATTATAATTGAGAAAAGCTTTTCACGTTTGTCTTATATGTCTACATGTACAGTTGTCTTAGAGTTGCTGGAACAATACTTTCTCAGATTTATACACTTTATCATAAGAGTCTCAAACAAGTGAACTTATGAATTAAAATACTATGTTTTATTTTTATAAATATCTTTAATGTATTGCATTTGTGATTAATCACAAAATCCTCTTTAAAATTCAGGCAAGTATTTCATATTACCCAGTATTGCTCAGTATTACTCGGTAAAGATCAGTAAAACCCGGGTTTTCCCAGTATTTCCCACTGAGCTGGACGATAATAATAAAACACGGGTTTTTGCCAATCCTGTATGTAGCGGTTATCAGAGAAAAGCATATCCAGCGGTTTTAAAGAAAACATATGCAGCGATTATCAGAGAAAACATATGTATCGGTTATCTGGGAAAATCATATATTGCGATTATCAGAGAAAAACGTATGTAGCGGTTTTCGGGGGTTATCCTTCTTCGTTGAGGTTAGGAACCGTTTTTATCTTGTTGTAAGTTATGACTTCTTGATGTCACCTGTAAAGACCATGCATAGACTAAGAGTTTAAGTGATATCTGATTATGATTGATACAGCAATAACATCTATAGAAAACACATATTTATGCCATTATAATATACAATAAGCCTAGTTTTCATTTCATTGTCACTCATTTTTTAACGTTTAAGATTTGAAAGTGGAAATACTTGATCTTGCAAATCATAATGTATTACGAAAGGTCATTCGATCAAAGTCAACACTAAGTCTTTGTCAACAGCTTATACACTTCATTTTCATCTAACAGCCACGATTGTTTCCTGGAACCGTGCTAGGCATGAGTGAGAGAGCTCGTGTGTTGTTTGATCCCCATGGGGTCAAAGTAAAGACTTGGAAATTGCGTTTTGCTGCAACTCCGCTAAGAATATAAATAAAGAGATGTGATATGATTGCCAATGAGACATCTATCCAACAGAGTCCAAATGAAGCGGGTTTAAGCAACTATATGTCACCGTAAGGTCTTAACAATGAGCAATATCCATACCGCGTATTGTCAGCTTTGAAAGGCCTTCGCATGACAAAATATGAAATTATTCAAATGAAAATAAACCCAACTATTTGATTCATGACAAAACAATTTAAGAAAAACAATTATGGTAGATAGCAACCAACGACCACCACTGAATAACAGGCTACGGAGTCGAAACAGGCACAAGTAGAATGTGGCGTGGTTCAGCATGTTTATGAGCACTGAACCCTCCTCTAACCTGGTACAATGATGTAACAGCACAACTTTAGAACAAACTGTAAAAAACAGTTGAAATGAATGGGTTTGTGTTATAATTTTGTTTGTGTATTGTACCTTGTGTTTAGAGGTCTTACATAGACTTAGCCTATTGCCTAATCAATTCAATATATTTTGAATAAAATATTTTTGTTTAAACGTTACTATCACACTATATTTTTTGTCCTATATATGCATGTAATGTTTTTCATCGGCTATTAAACATTCTTTCATCCAATCAATATGGTCTCCAAGTGTGACTGAGGAGTAGAAATATGGTCACTTTGGTTTTCTTTGACCGAAAATTAAACCCTTGCTCAAGTAGGGTTTCCGTTTGGCTGTATGGGATGTACAAGTACACAACCACATCCTTTCAGAAATGGGACGTTAAATCCGATGCTTCGGGTAGAGAGAGTATCACGCTCTGTGCGCGTGAAGAACCCTTGCATCAACACTTTGGGGGTCCGTAGTTGGCCTATTGCAAAGCAACATTTCTGTCCCTATCCAATTTACCCTCTTTTCCCAGTGGCAGGCTAAATTACGCCTATTTTCATCCCGGCAGGCTTCTATTACAGGACTTACATATCGTCGCTAGGCTTCCAAAATGTCGTATATGAATTTTTTGGCTAAAATTACTTTTTCACACAAATCGTCTTGGCGGAAGGCAATCTTTGATATTACAAAATAGCATACAGTTAGACCAATCAAAACATTATAAATAAGGCATGTGACAAAATTGCCAATCTCAATTGCTTGTAAAGTTTGCTTCCAAAATGTTGTATGTAAACTTGAAAAGTGTTGTATAATGGCTTTGGGAATCAAATACTTGTGCATTTCTTTATTTCTGTTAAAGTAAGATTAGTTTGTATGTAATACACACACGTCATATGTTTTATTCCACTGCCATTTACAATAATGTTTAAGTTCATATACGACATTTTGGAAGCATGCATTTCAACCAAATTTTCAAAGCCTTTTTGTGAGATATTTTTTTGCTGAAAATTTTATAATTTACCACATTTTGGAAGCCCAGCGACGATATCGCATTTATTGTCATTTGTTCTCGTCCTGAACATACAAGAAATATTTTTGCGTCCTTTGCTACAAAATGTTGATAATACTGAATTATTGACTTAACTTGTATGTCAACGGCTATCGATAACAATGATTTTACGCTCACTAAATCTGTCGGAGGCCTTCCAGTGGGGTTTTGAATAATCAATTGTTACACATTTTGATACATAAAATGAAATGGTAAAAATGTAAAACTGCTGAAATATATTTTAAATAAATAATATAGATTCTTTTGAATTTCAAATTCCAGTAGGATTTGACTCATTTTCTTATTTTGATCCTGTGAGTGAAACAATTACAAGGAAATGAGTCCAAACTCTTGAACATTTATCATCTCTTTGTGTAAAAAAATGCATACCATAAAAGATAATATATGCCAAAAAACACTAGACTACTTTTACTCGTTAACTTTCTTCACTTTAGTGTCTACCGCTTTTCTCTTTTCAATGTCAGGTGATGTTAAGAGAATAATTGGCGAATGTCAGTTATTTACTCATAATTTTATCTATAACTTATATTATGGATTACATGTACGACCCGATCAATGTTAGTTTTGAATAATTCAATCATCTTTTTAACAATGATTTCTTACCCCACTTTTGTTAGCTTTGTCCCAAGCTTTCCGCAATCGTTGCCTTTCCATCTTTGTCAACATTCTTATTTCTTTACGGAATCGAGTTTTTCTGGTATCTCGCTTATTTCGATTTCCCGGAATTTCTTTGCAGAGAAGTTTTCCGAAGAAATTGGTAATATCCGTCATACTTGTATTACCTTTAACACTATAACACTTTTTTAAGTTTGGTCCTTTAACCCACATATATCGTGTTAAACAAGTATTGCAAACCGACTCACTGGGTGATTTGGTCACATTCTGATGCTGAGTTTTCATGACTATACATTCTTTCAAAAACGGTGGAAGTTCTAGTTCTTCTATAAGACATCTTCCAAGACTGACAAAAGTGAGTACCAAGGCATATAACAACATATTAGGCATAATTGCTGCTGCATGAGTTTTTCACTTCATACATGTATCTTCAATCATATATGCTACTTTATCAAGACTTACTGACACCAAATAAATTCCTTACATATGTGTGTCTTACTTAAAACTACTTGCATTAATCATGTTTTTGTCAATTACGTATTCATATAATTTCACGAAAGTTGGTATTGTAATCAACATCAGATTTTCTGGTAAAGTGCATGCATGCTAAATGAAGTATACACATTTTTCTGTTGTAATCTCTGTGCATATTGTTATTTCGTCAACAAAGCAATTATTCATTTATTGAATTTAGGGAACTATTGCTAATCTACTCTGTTTATTTTTTAAAAAGGAACTAATAAACTTGAAATGGGTGGAGACTACTTTGAAGATTTCAGATGCTATATGTCTTACACAATTTCTTTTAAGTAATTCATAGTTACGAAATCCCTGAATTTATAATGCACCAGCTATACATATATCAAGTTCATTGAACTCTTAAAATGTCACTACAGACACAGGCATATACGCGCACCAGTTTGAAAATAAACACAACGTAAATAATGACCAAATGAACAATACCATCAAAAAGTGGAAAATTAACTATAGGGAACAAGCAATACTCTCTTTTGTCGTATTCTTTTTAAAGAGTTTCCCATGTGAAACTTAAATATCAAAATCTAGAAAAGAACAAATATTGTGTTTTTAGTGTATGTATTTAAAGTCAGTTCCATTGGGTAAATTCCAGCAATATATAGAGAATTCTTGATTAGTAAAGGCTAAACTATAATCAAGGTAACGGAAAGTGTTACAACATTATCAATCAAGTTGAATTTACACCAATCTTCAAATACATATTGCAAACTGACTTACTGGGTGATTTGGTCACAGTCTGATGTTCAGTTTTCATGACTAAACATTCTTTTAAGAACGTGGGAAGTTCTAGTCCTTCTATAAGACAGGTTCCAAGACTAACATAAGTAAATACCAAAACATACATGTAGAACAACATAATAGGCATAGTTACAGCTGAAAGGAGTATTTCTCGTCATACATGTAACTTTAATCATACATGTACTTTATCAAGACTTATTGAGATCAAACAGTATCCCTTAAATATGTGCGTCTTAATTAAATTCTACTTTTCTTAATCATGTTTTTATTAATCGCTTTTTTGTAAAGTTTCATGAAAGTTTATATTCTAATTAATATAAGATTTTCTGGTAAAGTGCTTGCTAAACGAAGTATATAAATTCTTCTGTGGTAATCTTTGTGCACATGGTTATTTTGTCAATTTACCTATTGAATTAAGGGAACGTTTGCTAATCTACTCTTGTTTGTTTTGTAAAAACAAACCTAATAAACATGAAATTGGTGGAGACTACTATCATGATTTCCGATGCTATAAGTCTTACACAATTTAATATTACACATATTGCATTTCGATGAAAGAAGGAAACCTTTGTGTTAGCTCTTTTGATTAAAAGTTTTCATATATTAATAAATTAAAAACAATAGATGTATTTAGTAAAAGTTTTAAGTAATTTCTAATAACGAAAACCATGCCATTTTAGGTTACCAGTTATACATAGATAACGTTTATTGGACTCTTAACATGTCAATACAGACACAACCATAGCGAACGAGTTAGGATAATAAAAATAATGTAAACAGGAGCCAAACAAACATCACCATTCAACAACAGGAAAATTAACTATCAAGAACGAGCAATCTCTTTTTTCGAATTATTTTTAAGAGTTTCACTTGTGAAACTGAAAATTCCTAATCTATAAAAAGGGCAACTATTGCTGTTTTATGTATTTATTTTATGTCAGATCCATTGGGTATTTTCCCGAAATCTATAAGTAGAGCATTCTTGATTATTTAAAGCAAACATATCATCGATGTAATGGAAAGTGTTATAAAATTTAACAATTAATAGATATTAAACGAACCTTTACTGAGTCTGAACATTAATTCATGACAATACAGGATAAAGTCTGCTATTAAAGGGGGGCAATTGCTGCCCATTAGAATAATAAAATGTACACAGATGTCACCGAGGAGGATATTTACAACTTTGCATCTTTAATCGTCTCATTACAGTTCCAGTAAATATGATATCTAGCAAATTTACCTTTTTATTACAGAAACAGGCTTTAGATACATATTTTTACTAGTTGTTGTTGGCTTTGAACTAGCTGTCAGTAACTGCGAGTACTGTGAGATCTTTACTTGGTGTCTTTTTTATTGTGGGATATATAGATACGCTGTCACGTCCGGTCTTTGTTTTCGTTAGATGTTTTCTGCTTTGTATCGAGCTGATGAATTAAACCATTTTCAACTGATTTTTATTGTTTGTTCTTATGTTGTACTGTTACACCACTGTCCCAGGTTAGGAGGAGGGTTTGGCGACAGCAAACTAGTTTAACCCCGCCACATTCTGTATGTGCCTGTCCCAAGTCAGGTTCCTTTAGTGCAGTGGTAGTGTTGATTCATGTCTGTCATATTTGTTTTTTCGCAAATTGGTTTGTTATAAATTAGGCCGTTAGTTTCCTCAATTGAATGGTTTCATATTTTTCATGTAGAAGCTTTTTATAGCAGACTATACAGTATGGGGTTTTCTCGTTCTGAAAGGCCGTACGGTTGCCTATAATTGCTAACATCCACCTCAATTGAACTTTGGCGGAAAGCTGTCTCATTGGCAATCATACCCCATATTCTTATTTTTATATTGAAATGAATTGCAGGAAATAAATTGCAATTTGATTTTTTAATGGACCATGTAATTTACTTAGTAATAATAAAACTTTTATTTGATAAGACTGCGTGAAAGTGAAGTGTAGAAAGGTGAAAAGTCACAGTTGTCGTTTGAATTGAAAGGGCCATCAATAGCCCATAATTTACCTAAAACATCAAGAGTTTTTACACTCCGAGAATAATAAAATTCATTATTTTGATATGCCTATTTCAAATAATATTACAAAAGTTAATAAAAAAAAATTTAAAGGTAGTAAAAGAACTAGTTGAAAAGACAGAAAGACTAGTACATGTAGTAAAATTGAGAATGGAAATGGGGAATGTGTCAAAGAGACAACAACCCGACCATAGAGCAGACAACAGCCGAAGGCCACCAATGGGTCTTCAATGCAGCGAGAAACTCCCGCACCCGGAGGCGTCCTTCAGCTGGCCCCTTAACAAATAAGTACACTAGTACAGTGATAATGGACGTCATACTAAACTCCAGATTATACACAGGAAACTAAAATTAAAAATGATACAAGACTAACAAAGGCCAGAGGCTCCTGACTTGGGACAGGCGCAAAAATGCGGCGGGGTTAAACATGTTTTTTGAGATCTCAACCCTCCCCCTATACTTCTAGTCAATGTAGAAAAAACAAAAGCACAACAGTACGCACAGTAAAACTCAGTATAAGAGAAGTCCGAGTCCGATGTAAGAATAGGAAACAAAAGAAAATAAACAAAATGACAATAATACATAAATAACAACAGACTACTAGCAGTTACTGACATGCCAGCTCCAGACCTCAATTAACCTGAATGAAAGATTATGTCTTCATCATATGAATATCAGGCACAATCCCTCCTGTTAGGGGTTTAGTATTATACCGTCATGAAATATATGAGAAGAACATAACCCGTGTCATGCCAACAACTGGTTTTAGAATAAATGTGTTAATTCCGATGCAAAGACCCTATAAGTGAATCAATATTAAAGCCAAAATATGCAATCTTTAATGACCTGACAACAGTATCGTAACTATAACCCTTCGTAATAAGTCTGTTTAAAAGTTTTGTTAGCTTTTGAGGTGAATATTGACATTTTTGTGCTTTGTAAAGAATATTACCATAAAAGATTGGATGTGAAATACCCGAACGTATAAGATGTCTGCATGTTGAGTTATATTTACGAATGATGTCCTTATACCGATGATAAAATTTAGTAAATGTTTTGACTAGTTTATGATATCGAAAACCCTGGTGTAATAATTTTTCAGTAATACATAAATTTTCTCGCTAAAATCTAATACGTTGTTACATACACGAGCGAATCGTACAAGTTGAGATATATAAACACCATAAGATGGTGACAAGGGAACGTCACCATCTAAAAATGGATAATTAACAATAGGAAATGAAAAATCATCTCTTTTATCATAAATTTTTGTATTAAGCTTCCCGTTAATGATATAGATATCAAGATCGAGGAAAGGACAGTGGTCATTGGTAGTATTAGCTTTATTTAAAGTAAGTTCAACAGGATAAATTTCTTTAGTATTCACACTGAAGTCGTCATTATTGAGAGCCAATATATCATCCAAATATCTAAAAGTATTGTTAAATTTTTGTATAAGATGTTGTTTCGATGGGTCTTTGCTGATTTTAGTCATAAAGTGTAACTCATAACAATACAAAAATAGGTCCGCAATAAGTGGTGCACAGTTAGTCCCCATTGGAATTCCGATAACTTTACGATATACGGAATCTCCAAAGCGAACAAAAATGTTATCAAGCAAAAATGCAAGGGCAGAGATGCATTTTAAATCATTTTACTGTTATTTGAAAACTATCCTATGTTTAAATGCATTGGCTCGAATCTAATTTAAAAAAAAAAACCTTATTCTAATATGACGTGCTTCTTTCGCTTTGTAAACAACACCGTGATAAAATTCTCGATATATCTATACTTAGCGCAGACTCAGAGATATACCTAATAATGGATGTTACAATATACCTCCCTCGTAAATCCACATGTATTGGAACCTATTTGCAAACGCTTTGCCGATTTTATTGTTTTAAAAATTGCAATTGAAAAAAGACTACAGAACTTTAATTCTTATTCGGATGCATAACAAAAAGAATTAATGCACAAGAGCTCGGAAAAATCTACAAAATCAAAATAAAATAAAATTCCGCCAAAGTCCATTAATGCTATTGGCGCATTTAAGTCATTTCAAAACATGACGTCATACAAATGAAAACGCTAAAGCTGAAGGTTTTTCCGTTACGTGAACCATCGAAATTCGTATAATATTACATTTAAAAAATGGATTTTTTGCGGTAGGTGTTGTTTTATTTTCTATTTTATTGCATTATTCGCTTT